TCAGAACCTAGGTCTGCACGCCACTGCACTCCATCATGCACCATCTGGTCACCACGAGACGCGATAAAGAGCCACTGCAGTCCTACTAGAGTTCCGAAGGAGTGCCCAGTGAAGCCACTGACTTGTGGTCTTCGAAGCTGTGACGTTAACCGCATGATAGGGTCAAACGATTCAGCTGGAGGTGCACAGGGCAGTTCAAGCGACGGGAACGACGAGGCTCACCACTGCCCCTCCTCCTCCTCCTCCTCCCCGCCACCACCACCAGATGGGCGCAATCATGACTTAAGCAGGAAGCTGCTTTATAGCGGGCAGACTTGCGTAGAAGCTACCTCATCCTCTTCCTACACTCACAGCGCTCCGATTGGCGCGGGTGCAGCGGCTGGCAGGTATAAAAAATTCACCCAACAGACGCACTTTGACTCAAATGGCTGGCTGCCTGTCCTACACATTTTTCTCTCAGTGTATGCAGAATACACTTTCTGACAGTCGACGTCCTCCAATTTCTCACGTTCTACCGCTCTCAGTCACGTGCCTTGCGACACTGGCTCGTATGACAAAAAACGGCACATTAGATAGACACAAGGGGGAAAAACTTGCGCTTCCTTTGCTGCAGGCTCGACTACAAGCACACAACTGCTGCTGCGACTGCTGCTGTGCACTAGCAAATCTGCAAATTACGGGACGTAAATTCAAACAAACTGCACAACGGAATATATAATTTGTACGTTGTCGTGTAACTCTGCTGTTTACAGCAGCCACGAGCGTTAACACAATTGTTATGAGACGGCCTGGTACTTTGAAATAACGCAAATATATGTTTGTCCAACTGTAGTCCTATAAAGAAGCACCAACGAGAAGTAAAAACACGATCAGCCAATCTACAGATTATTCTCACTGAAAAGATGCGCGTATTTATAGCGTTCCGTTCAGATTGGCTTATATTTTGTCCAATCCGCTTGGAGTGAAATTGGTTGAGGAGCCGAGCATTTTCCTGCAGACAGGGACCAATCAGATCTGATGCCAACTCTGTAGCCACAGCCCAGGCGGAAAGCTGTCAAACGCACGTTCCAGGAATGCAGCGTGGGAGACGCATACGCGTGCCTTTCTACACCCTTTTCTGAATAAGACTTGCCTTGCTATTCTATGAGTACATGAAAGGATATTTTTAAACTTGCTGTACCTTGACTGCATGTGAATTTGCAAGGGGATTGACAATCAAGGGAATAAATGTTCACTAATTAACTTGTCCGCGCTGCCGAGTGTGGTGTTCGGAGGCGGCAGAAAAGGAGTGCCTTCAAAAGCCCTCATCCCGACGTGTCTAATATATCTTGAGATTAGGCTGCAAGCAAATCAACAGTACAACCCCATCCAAGTAGACCTTCTCCCTCGAAAACGCAGTCTATAATAGCATTGCCGGCAAAGACAAGAGACACAGCAATGGCCAGTTCCAGATCATTAGCAGTCATCAGCCAGTAATACCCAGACTCCAGTGGTGCACCACCCAAGCCTCGAACTCGCGACCTCTTTCGATCAGAGCCTAACGCCCTAACCACTGATCCCATAGCTCGTTTCTTTCCGGTTTAGATCGGGGGATATTGACATACATTCACCACCGATCGCGAACGGAACTCACTCGCCCAGCTCTGCCATGGGTCTTATTTCTCGGACGCTGAGAGCAGCCGCACGGCGGTGTTAACCAACACTGCTGACAGAAGTGAACAGGCGAGTTCAGAAGGAGATGCAATGGCTGGAAATGGCCTGACACAGTCACACCTTTAAGCTTGGTGGGGGCGACATTCTAGCAAGGGCTGACAACCACGTGAGCCGTAAACTACATGCATCTCGGTTCTCTGGGCCACAGTCAGTCCATTAACAAGCGCAATAACCTCACGGGCAGGACGCAGACAGCCCGAAGGTTTCCAATGATAGCCAGCCACATTGCCCGATGAAATTAACGACAAGTAACGACTCAGACGTGGGTTAATGAGTAATTATCACAGCAGCCCTGAATGCGGGGTAATGAGCACCGAAACAGAGCCGCACGAGTGAAATCCATCGGCAATTGGTGAATGTTTATGAGCGACTGACAGTCAATAATTCGGTTAGCATCTCATGAGATCGAGGGTTGTGGATGGAAAGCCAGTTTACGAATGCGGCTGAATAAAGAGAGAGAGTATTTTTTCAGGTTTTCAGCTCGACGGCACTCTCACCTAGCCGAAATCTCTTAAGTTCCATGCATGTGTCCGTGTGAGAAAACGCTCTCGGACTAATAAGAAGAGCCTGCAAGCTCCCAGGCGCCAAAAGACATAGTTTCTACGAAATTAGAAGGTCACACCGAAATAAAGGAGCAGTAGAAGCCAAAGAGGGGAAGGGAGCAGAAAGTGCTTGGCTTGATGCTTTACCTGTTGGGAGGAGGGTGGCCCTTTCGGAGGCTGCTCGACAGCAGGGGGTGCTGTGGTAGTGCCAGCCCCACCACCACCACCTACCGCCGCAGGCAAACGAAGAAGGTGGTCTGGGAAGGGCATCGAAGTCGGCTGCATGGTCTGGCAGAGCCAAAAGTCCACATTATGTAGCGTGGCCGAAACCAGTGTCGGTAGAGGACTCTCAGCCACCATGCGGACCCAAAACTAGACAGCCAATAAAAACAAAAGAAAAGAGGACAAGGATTAGCCGAGTAAGGCAGGCCGAATTCTAAGAGCACTTCCGTCAGAGCGATCTGAGTTCAAACGGGGAAGAAAAACATGCATGACCAGTGCAGGGTAAAAGAAGAAGACGACGGGCCCTAGATTCTGTCCGGGCATCTTCTGATCATCTGATTTCTTGTGTGCAAACCGCACAAACCGCCTTGGTTCTAAGGTACAGTTCAAGCGTCACAAACGGAGACTTATA